TGTGTGTGTGTGTGTGTGTGTGTGTGTGTGTGTGTGTGTGTGTGTTTGTATGTATATGTAAGCAGTGCCTTTTATATATCAGTGAGTTATTTTGGCGGAATGGCTGATGTCCGATATTTAACTTTATTGCTAATATCGGCTGATACCGATATCATGCCGATAACATTGTGCATCCCTAACGATGTAAAGAAACCAGCTACAATAATCTCATTAGTGAGACTTTCAGTTTTTCAATTAGCATTCAACCTTGAAGTCTCACACAGAGACAAAACTCGCCATGTCAGTACGATGCCGGGCAGCCCTCTGTGATGGTGATGCACTCACAGATCTCTAACTGTGTTTTGTTTCGGCTGCAGGAACTTCTACTACATCACCATGCTGCGCGACCCAGTCTCCCGCTACCTGAGCGAGTGGAAACACGTCCAGAGAGGAGCCACGTGGAAGACGGCCCTCCATATGTGCGACGGACGCTCGCCCACCCAGGACGAGCTGCCCACCTGCTACAGCGGTGACGACTGGTCCGGAGTCACCCTGAAAGACTTCATGAACTGCTCGTCGAACCTGGCCAACAACCGCCAGGTCCGCATGCTGTCCGATCTGAGCCTGGTGGGCTGCTACAACCTGTCCTCCATGAACGAGAGCCAGCGCAACCACATCCTCCTAAGCAGCGCCATGAGCAACTTGAAGAACATGGCCTTCTACGGGCTGACCGAGTTCCAGCGCAAGACGCAGTACCTGTTTGAGCGGACGTTCAGCCTGCGCTTCATCGCCGCCTTCACACAGATCAACAGCACGCGAGCGGCCAACGTGGACCTGTGCGAGGCCGTGCGCAGACGGATCGAGGAGCTCAACTACTTGGACATGCAGTTGTACGAGTACGCCAAGGACCTGTTCCTCCAGCGGTTCCAGTTCGCCCGCCAGAGGGAGCACCAGGAGGTGCGCTTGAAGAGGCGCGAAGAGAGACGTTGGTTGAGGGAGCAGGGCAGGCCGTGGCCGTCCAAACGCAAAGCGAGCGGAAACAGAGAAGGAGGCTCCGAGAGGGAAACTGACAGTGACTTGCCCGCCACCACTGAGGACTACACGAGCCAAGTGGCCCGTTGGTGAGGGCTCATCTGCAGAGCGCTGCAGAAACAGAGGCGTAGGCGGAGATTCCTCAATGACATTTTGCTTCTGATGTCCATTTTTGTGTCTCACCATTAATCTGTCTGTTTTGTCAGCTTCATCTGATCTAAGTGCTGTTTCTTTATTTTAAAAAAAAAGCCATCAGTGGGTCTTTCAGCAGCTCTTTTTAAAAGAGCTTTTGTGTCTTAATTTATTTATTTTAACTATTGCCTTAGTTCATTTAGCTCTGTAAAAGAACAGGACATCAACTAGATAGTAAAGTGTACAAAGTAATGCTTTGAACTGCGTTGATTTTTATTTTTCACAGCCAATTTTATGAATGTCATCAAAAAAGATCGTCTATGTTCCGACTGTTCTCACTCCAGTGGCGTCGTATTTTTTAAAGGACTTTATAAACCAATGCAAAGGGGAGCCTTCAATATCAGTTGTTAAACTGAAATGTTACCTTTTTTTTTTTTCCAAGACAAAGCAGCACATTTTAACCGTGGCCAAGAATTGCACTTAAACCTAAGAAAGTGGGTTCCGACAGTAAATGGAACCTGTTGGGAAACAGAAAGTGTTAATAATTGAGTGATAAGAAGAATGAATGCTGATCAGCTGTTACATTGTTGTGGATCCTCAATCAGCTGCTTCACAAGGATGTTGCTGCTGAATCAGAAGCTTCACAGAACTGCAGTATGTGAACCGGCTGCGATGTCACAAAAGATTACCTTGAAGTTTGGTGGAACTGGTTGCATGTGACACATACATAGTATATTTACAAAAGCTGGGAGGGAGTTCTTAATGATGTGCTGTCAATCCTGAATAAAGCTTCATAAAAGGCTTATTAGTCTTATTTTTTAAGTCATAAACCAACACTTCAAATAGAAACTTCTGATGTCTAAAGTTTCTCTCCACCATAAAAAGTGTATGATTTAAAAGATAATCAAACTGATTATTTGACCATTTTGCCTAATTGGGGTAAACTCTTTCCTGATTGGTGGAACTCTCATATGGCCTTTGAAACAATTTCATATCTTAAATATGCCGTTGTTTGGTTTGATATTAAAGCAATATTTAAGATTCTTTAGGGTCTTTGGAAAAAATTAGGAACAATTCATATTTTACCTGGTGTAGATGAAACTTTGAGTGGCCTTGGTAACCCTGACAGGAACTAAAGTAACTCACTGGACTGCGAATGTCGGTGCAAGGTTGCAACGGGGTGCTCAATTTCCTTCTGTGAGTCGTATGGTCTTGCTGTCGTGTCGCGGGAGTTTTGAACACATTCCAAAAATATATCTGACGAGTATCATTTAAAAATATTAACAGAGCCTGTTTCGATTTCTTCTCAATTTAATGTCCGAGTCAGAAAATGGGAGAAATGTAAGACAAAGTTAAGAGGGGATCTTTAAGAGTAAATCATGACTGATTAGACAACAATAAGAATGGCTCAGCAATGGCCCCTCGTGACCAGGCCATTGACTGCAGCAGCAGCAATAAGACCTGCTGCAGCCTTCAGCTGGTCAGCTTCGCCCTTATCCAGCAGCTTCTGCACTTCTCTACACCGTTTGATGTCTGGTGGTAAAATAACTGCTGGGTTGCAGAGAGGCCAGCTTTCTTGGTTTTCACACCTTGCACTGCAGTCATAAGCATAATAAATCTGCAGTTTTGTTGCAAGAAATACCTTGCAGGAATGGTGTGATAAATATGCATACTCTGTGAATTTGGGCCCAGATTTTGCCTGAGGATGTGCAACATACATAAACATGTCAATTCAGAGGGACTTGGGTACTTCTGACAGGAATTTTGTAATATTTATGCCAAAATTTTAAATTAGTCGTTTTCAAGGACAGCCATTTACTTGAATCTAGGCTCTACTTGGACTAATCGTTTCAGTCCAGTCAGAATTCATTTCTATTTGTTCAAACTGAGGTTGCTCAGAGTTTTCTACAACAGGTAAGCTGTTGATTGTTTATAAGCCTTCCACAGTATCCCACTTTCAAAGATCCATGCTGTTGCTTTAGGGTAGAAGACATAAATCGACCTTAGAATATTTAAATTTCTTCATCTGTTTTATATCTTATTAAAACAATGTCCAGATATGAACACAGATCCATATTAAACACAATGTATACTATGTGTACTTTTAATTTAAAGCAAACAGAGCTTTCTTTAAAGCTTGCATGCAAACTATTATCATTTTTATTTTTTTGTCTGAAGTGCAATATTTTGCAGACCTGAACACCTCTCTCAAAGGCAACACTGGGACAGTTGTGTGGCATTAATAACTTTCTCCTTTTCATGTACATTTTGTCCAGCATTGTTGTTGTGAAGAAAAAAAAAACATCTATTAAAATGTAGACAAACTGTCAATAGTTTATTTCTGAAGGAGTCGATAAAAAGTTGTTACAAGTGATGAAACATGTCTGTGCAGCTGGTGTGTGTTTGGACTCCGAATGAGACGATCAGCATTCAGACCTCCTGTATGTCACCCCCCACCCCCACCCCACGCCTCGCCACACTGGCTGCTCTTTGCATATTTGTAGAGCTGACGGCAACTGCATTGTGGGTAGCGACAGAGACGAACACCAGCAGAGTGCCAAAAGATTCAAAGACGAGCCTCGGAGCAGACAGTGGAGGAAAATCAAACATTTCTGTCACTTGGCCGTCCCTGATAGTTCCCAGTCCCTCAAAGCTCGTTTTTATCTGCTTTCTCTTACAACACATGCATATGAAATAAAACGTCCGATAAATTGTCGACACTGAGGCCAGGATGCAGCTGCTAATGTTAATGCAGGTTTTCACTTTCAATAGTGTGAATTGCTAAGCATTCACACTATTGTGATCCTCTTCTGTGCATTTTTCAGCACGATTCTCATCCCACAGTTTTCAAGTTATTTCAAAAAATCATAAATCAAAACGTTCAGCTCTTTCAGGCCAACCTGCTATGACTTTTGGTTTTGTTGCAATTTTAGCTTTTTGAAATATTTAGCGTTTTCTGCCACTTTTTCCTCATAGAAAATGAATTGAGCTCATTTTACATCTTTCGAATCTTTAGATCTGTTTACAACCTTTCACTCTTCCTTTCACATTTTGTTCTGCTTCAGCTTCCTTGTGCAAATTTAAATTTTTTCAGCTACTTTCAGCTCATATCAGCTGTTTTGTGTGCCTTTCAGATTTTTTTCTGTTAACTACAACATTTCTGTGCTTCTTCTAACTTTATTCTGCTAATTTCAGCTTGTTATGCAAGTTTCATCTTTTTCTGCTATTTCAGCTACTATTTAGCTGTTTTTATGATAATTTTAGCTTTTTCATTTAATTCCACATTTTTTGCACTAATTTCAACCTTGTTCATTCTAATTCATCGAAAATGTGCCCTCTCCACTTCCTTCAGGTCATTTAAGCTTCTTTCTACTTTTGAGCTACTTTTCAGCTGTTTTCTTTTGCTAGATTCAGCTTATTTCAGATCATTTCCACTTTTTGTGTTCAGCTCCTAATTTAGCAAACATTTGTTATTTTTGTTTTCTTCTGCTAATGTAAGCTTGTTCTACCTTTTAAGCATAATTTCGACTGTTTTCAGATTAATTCAAGTTTTTGTGGTAACTTCTGCTACTTTCAGCCAAATTAACTTGATTTTTATGATTTCAGCTTGTTATGCTCTTTTCAGCTAAATTATACTAGTTTCAGGGTTTTTTTTGTTTGTTTTGTTTGTTTATTTGTTTGTTTTTTGCTATTTCATCTTTTTCAGCTGTTGTTATGCTATTTTTTAGCTTCTTCAGCTAACTTCACAGTTTTTTGCTCATTTCAGCTCTTTCCACTTCCTTCTGGTAATTTAAGCTTCGTTCTGTCTTTCAGCTACTTTTCAGCATGTTTTTTGTTGCTAATTTCAGCGTTTTTAGCAAATTTCCTAATGGTTGTGCTAATTTCTACTTATTTAAATCTATTTAAGCAAATATGTGTACTTTCTGCTTTCTTCTGCTAATTTAGACTTGTTCTTTCATTTCAGGTAAATTTCAGGACGTTTTTAGATGAATTCAGTTGTTTTTTTTAGCAAGTTTGTCTGCAATCAACATTCACACTGCAGTTTTGCAGGAAATGCAATTTATCTAGTTAATATTATTATTATTTCCTCGCTGATTGCTCTTAAATGCCTCATGTGGTACAGTTTTGTTTAATTTGTTCGGATGATTCATCGAGTCATTGCAGGGAATGGGTTACCTGAAAAAGGGTTTGTCTTTAGCCATCAGGAGGTTTTTATGTGTTAAAGCGTGTCTGTGGAGTGTGGAAGTACTGGGGTCAAGAAGGAAGAGGTTTGCTGCACATTTTAAATACTCAGTGAAGGTTTTGAGCTGTACAAAACAGCTCTTAAAATTGGGTTTTTGTGTGTTTTATGGCCTTAAGGTGAAAATTAAGAAAGAAGAAGTTCAGCTCCTCCTTTTTATTGTCAAGTTATCTATAATGAAGAAGGCTTCACTTTGTACTCCCTCTCTCTCACACACATTTTGTTTTTCTAGCCTTACAAATACATTGTAATGATTTCCATGGCCTAACCCGGCCCCTAAACCCTAACCATTCATGCTTAACCTTGAAGCTACGCATTTCATTTAACCCCTAACCTGAAAATGGTGCTTCATTGTGGAAGAACCAGACTTCGATCCCCATGGTTCTGACAAGGTGGGTAATTTGACCAGAAATGAACTTTAAATGGTGTTCCCAGTATTTGAAAAAAAATATCAAACTGTTGATTGATATGCAATAAAAAGATTATGCAGGTGTTTTGGCATCTTGACTTAGTTTCATTTAAAAAATAATTCTCCTTAGGAAGAAACATCACACCTTCTAAACTTCAGGAAACAACCGAACAAAAGATGAGAACGCCTGTAATTCATCATTTTGATGTGATGTTCAGATTATGAGTTGACTATTCTGACCGAGGGAAAACGTGTGAGCTGACTCCTTTCGATGTCCTCCTCTCTCTTCTGAGCTCAGAGGAAACACATCTG